GCCGCGATAGCACGTGCTTCGAACGAGACTGGTTAACCCCGGCGGCGCGCGGATCTCGGTTCAGAAACGAAGACGGTTGGCAAAACCCAGGCGAACGTGAAGTACCGAGATATTTTCAAGAAATTTCGTACAAATGAGTCTGTCTGTCTGTCTGTCTGTCTGATTATGCATTATTTCGCTGCCTCGTCCATAATGGATGGAATCAGTATCACGTTATTATATTCCTTCGCACTGAGGCGCAAACTTTGGCGTTGAGTTTCGCTTTGAGGTTTGGCGTTTACACTCACACTGTGAACCCCCCTCAGGGTACACACCGACAATACACCGCGGTGAATATCAAAATGTTTTTAAACGTAATTAAATTTTACAGTTGCGCGTAATTTCATGCTCTACTTATTTCGATGTTTAGTCGTTTCTTTGACCGATGAAATCGAGAATATATGCTCACTCACCGTGGCGAAAAGAATTGTTTAAAGAGTAGCAGTGGCGATGAGTTTTCTTCGCTAGCTATGATAGTGATATTATTCCACCAGGTGAAGGAACAAGTAAGAGTATTGCAATAAAGCGAGGGAAAATCAGATAAAATGCAGTGTTATATATACATACTGAAAATTGTTCATTCAGTAACTGGGGTCCGGAGAAAGATAGTGCACATATTTTACATAAACTACGTAAAGGAAATAAACCTATGACGCACTATAAATTTGTTAAAAAGTTAGTCACGCAGCTAGTGGAAAATTTTCGACAGCCAATTTTGTATGGTCACCCGTCATGTTCCGATAAAGAATAACGCTTAAATGGAAAGCTCTATGTCGTTGATCAATAGCCTGATGGAATCAATCGTAAAGGCCAAGGAACAAACATTATTATTATTGCGAAAATTGTGATCCTTCTAATTGTTTTAAAAACTATTTGAAAATTACGAGTAATTTATAATCAAAATTTCCATATTTACAACATAACCTAAATCTAACCTAACCTAACAGTTGTAACAGTAACTTCTAATCTAACTTAAACCTAAAATGTTTGTATGATAGTAATGATAAAATAACGTTGAAAAGATACTGTCGTTTAAATTTCATGTATAAATTTTTCAGAATTTTAAATCAAATTATATAGCCATAAAAAGAGAAAAAAAATCCCGAATTGCTGCAAGCTCTAGTCTATTAGAAATAATGATAAAATAATAATAATAACGATAAAATAACGTTAAGAAGATACTGTTAAATTAAATGATAAATTTCATACATAGAATAAATTTGATGTGATAAGTTTTTACATATAAATTTTTCCATCAGATAAGTCATCATATATTAACTGGTTCGCGGACCATAACGAGTGACCAAACTGTGTACAATTCGTCGTTTTCTTTTTGAATTCATCGGTATGATATCACTTAGGACGAGAAATTATTACTAAGAAGTAATAAATTTATTATTTGTTTTTCCTGGCTTATATATTTAAATATACTTAAAACTGCGAAAATATAGCAATTTCTTGGGACAAACAATTCCACACGTCTTTGCAGCGCAAGAGGTTAACGACGGATGTATACGGATGTCTCCCTATTAGTAAAAGCGAAAACGAGGTGATTCTACATGAAAGAATAAATCGAAAATGAAGAATAAAATTTTTTCGTTTGACGCTTTGTTTACGAGAAAATCAGCTTTGATTGTTCTCCGACTACGCGTGCACTTAACCTCTTGTACTGGCAACTGGTTCCACGGACCATAACGAGTGACCAAACCGTACACGATAAT